TATTCATGTATTAATTAGGTTTGAGAAATATTTATTTAATCCATTATCATTATATTAAATAACTAACTTTATAGTAGTAGATTGCTTGGTATACAATCCAATTAATTAACCATTCTTTTTACTGTCATAATGTGTTTCCGACTTCCATTTAGTTTTAACTTATAAATTATATTATTTATTATTATATCCTTATAAAATATTATGAATTATCATAATTTTTAAATACCATATTATTTTGGTGTAGAATTTTGCAAAAGATGCTACACGAGAGTCGAGAAGATGTAATATGACGAAACATCAAAATTCTAATAAAACTAAAACACCAAGATTCTAACAAAAAAATATTAGGATTTTAAGTCTAGTGTCAAAATTGATTGACAATTACAAATGAACCCCAAAACACAATGAATCTTAGATAAAGATTGTATGTGTCAACATTCTTTTTTGTTTGTGTATGTGTATGTGTTGTCCATCATATCATATGTTTTTGTTTATTTGGTTTTTCATTTTCAAAAAATTAATTCGTGAATATTGTGTGTAAAGAAGTATTTAATAATGTATGATTTTTCATACTTTGTATTTATCTTATTGCCATAATCAAATGATTAATTTTCAAAGAAAAATATTTAAAACAAAGTTTTAAAAAAAGTTTCTAGGATGAAGGCCCACAATGCAACGCACGAGATGGTCACTGGTATGAAATAAATGAGAAACAAGATATGGTGAACGGAACAGAGAATATCAAATTAAAAAAAAATAAAATAATTCAAGTTCAAAGTCGGAAAAAAAATAGAGAGATGAATAGAAATATTTTTCTTTCTTTTTTGTTTTTTGGTACTAAAAAATGAAACGAATGAATAAATTATAACAATTGCCAAAAGTAAAATAAACATTTATAATGATGCTTAAAATGACAATATTCAGGTAGTCAATATTATTTTAACTCTCATTATTTGGTTTTCTTAAAAATTATTGCCCAATCCAAGCCTAATTACAAATCATATAATTTTGTCATATATAATCCACTAAAATTATTGTCCTATCCAAGCCTAATTACAAAACATGTCATTTTGTCGCATAAATCATATAATTTTGCCATCTATAATCCACTAAAATTATTGTCCTATCAAAGCCTAATTACAAAACATGTCATTTTGTCGCATAAGATCCCGAAACATGTCAGCACTCAGCACATTTGAAATTATATACGGGGAGGCTTTGTAAATTACTTGTATTGTCGATATGTGACATGGGCATCTTGCCACACAGTTTGAGAGCAGAAAATGAAAAATGAAACAAAACATGAGCAAGGAATTTGAACTGAAACTTTCAATAAAATATTATGAGAAAACAAAATACAAATTCTATCACTCCCGGCATTTCACAATAATTCAGAACTTATTTTTACCTGAAAATTCAAGTGGATACATGCTGAGATATCCATAAAATCACACAAAAAGCCCCTAAAGTTTAGACATAACGTACACGACGGCCGGTCATTAACCATCAACACCGTGCGCTTACGCTAACATCACTTCTTTTGCAGATAGTTGTGTTACAGCTTCTCCCATAAACCCCACTATACTAAAAACAAACTCTTCAAAGTCTTCAAATGGGAAGAACTTGGTCGGCCACAGGCCCCTTTTGCACAAAACAACAGGTTTTGTTACGACCCACAAAAGTAGGTTGTAAGCAAAACCACTTTCTACTTGGATTTCTTCTGGTCAGAAACCCTAGAACCCATGATTTTGACCACAACTTCATCTTTTGATATCAGTAGCTTAAGCGCTGGATGAACATTCAAATTCCCAGCAACAATCTTCTCGCCGACATCAAGCTCGCTTAAATCCACATCAATGTAGGGTGGGATGACATCTGCCGGGCAGAGATATTGAACAGTTCTCTTGATGATGTTCAAAGATGACCCTGCACAAGCACCAAAACCATTTGCATTGGTACAATTTTTTTTTGGTTTCACTTTCAATAACAAAATCATGAGAATGCCCGAAATGAAAAGGCGTAGTCTCTGTTTTTTAAGACAGCCCTCTAAAACTAAATCTTAATGATTGAATCCTTATGCATTGGCATTCTCTAATCTCGATGCCCCGCAAGACTTCAATCCAGTATTACCATTCTTTTTTAATAATTTTGAGGTTCTGTATATTTCATGATAATGGAAGTGATATAAAGGCCCCCTCTTTATGTGCACAACTGAGAGTAAATGAATAATCAAATCCTCTAGAGTAGGGTATAATTATTTTTCTATCCTAAAATCTCTGCTTAATGTGTGTATATATATACAGTAACATGTTCCAAGATTGTTACTCAATAAAAAACTCATCTTTCCTATTCTTTCCTATTCTGATAGCATATGGCCCTATACCTATCTTTACATGGCACAGCAAAAAAACTAAAATGTTATTACAGGGGAAGCTCACACCTTTCTTAACTGGAGGCCTATACCTAAAGGGGTACACGAGCAGACCTGAGCTCGAGTATTAGGAGCTCGGGCCTTTATCAAGCATAATTGAGCTAGGATTGTTAACAAAATGAGTTCATAAACGAGCCAAGCTCGTTTATCAATATTAATGAGCCGGAATGTAGAAAATTACAAAAAAAGAACCCTATTTTGGACTGAAAAGGACGAGCTCGGCTCAGCACATAACTATAAACGAGCCGATCCGAGCTGAGCTCGAGCCTTAATAAGCATAACCAAGCCAAGATTACAAGAGGCTCAGTTGGTTTAAAAACTCTACCGATACCCACATTTACACGACACAACAAAACACTAAAACCTTATCACAGAGGCAAGCTTCACCCAATGCTGTCATTGGCGGATGGCATAAAATGGCGGCAGCCTGATTTCCCTCCATAGGCACCAGCCATGGTGGTCTGTGGCACCACCATAACCTCTCTCCTTTACAAATTTCTCATAACGGTATGTCAGAAATCTACCACGCAACACTGCCATGGCCTCTATTTGATGAAACTAATTTCACCAAACCTTAAAATACAAATCTTCGACAAATAAAATTATGTTCTTTTTTAATCGTACTTACGAATAGACATAATTTACCATAGGTTATGATATGAAATCCCAAAACCAGCAGAGGTGAATAAAAGCAGGAAAAGGTAAAAAAAAATAAAAAAATTGTAAATTCAAATTTTCTTCATTACCTTTCTTGAGTCCAGGGGAGACATCATCTCCTCTGTAGACAAGAGGAACATCGACCTTTAACCAAGCATCAGATGGGGCTCTGATGAACGTGACATTAAGCACTGCGTCGGTGCCTGCGTGAAGATGTACCTGCCCAGGTGTCAAGAAAATATTAGATCAGTATATGCTCCAGAACAAGTGGAAACTAAACATTTTACAAACATGCAGTATGCTTGTAGTGAGACCATCTCGTATAACCACAATATACATGGTTAAGTTTGTTTTGTATGGTTGCACATGCACTGTATCTTATTTAGAACTTGTAAATGAAAACACCCAAACACATTCACATATATGCATATGCATACAGATCATTGGCCATATAAAGTACTGTCTGTGTATGTGTGCAGGGTCAGATAAACTCGTTACAAATTTTCGACGCGGGTGTAAAACATTAACATGTATGATGTATGAATTCCGCAGGTATGTATAGATCAAACGGACTAGAAGCGAAAGATGCAACATTTGCAGGTTTTTAACCACGATATTCACATTCACATATCTTTCTTTCACATTCACTAACTCAGGGAAACATTTCGAGCATTTCCCCAAATCCTTTAGGCATCATTTCATGACCAGATGAGCATACAATAATACTAGAACAGATAAAAAGCTGTAAAAGAAACATACAGTAAAATTGACACCAATCGAAATTTCTCCCAACTTAAAACAGAAGCACGATTTTTTTTTCATCACTCGAAACCTAAAATTTTGATTTCTACCAATGAACGAAAATTTACGGGGAAGCACATACCTTCCGTGGCAAGACTCTAACTTTTTCGATTATTTCATCCGACCCGAACTCGGGCCGGACCTCCAGATCAAAAAGCCTGGAGAGAAAGAAGGACCGACCCAAGTGATCCACAAGCTTCTTTATCTGATTGCTCCGTACGGAAATGAGGCGCTTGTTGCCGCCGTGCTGGCCATCTTCCGCCTCGAAGACGATACTTGGAACACGGCCCACATTCCTCTCTTTGGCGGCTTCGTTCTTGCCGGATTTAGCGCGTGGGATCGCGTGGATGGTTTCGTCGTGCTTAGGGTCAGGCCTGGGCAATCCCTCCAGGTAGGTGAGCAGAATGGGGTTTTCCGCTTCCTGGAGGAGCGCGGCGGTGGAGAAGCGCCGGAAATGGTGATTGATGGCGGCGGTGGCCAGTGAAGCTGCCCGGCGGATCAGCATTTGGGGGCGGATTTACGGCTAGTGTACGCCGTACGCGTTCCTGCGAGGGGTTAAGGAGGGTTTGGGGGAGAACGGAAGCTGCAGCCTGGAGTGTGTTTGGGCTGGAGTGGGGTTTAGTTTGGGTTCTTAAATCAGGCCGAATGACTACATTGTTGAACATTTATTGGACTGAGGTAAGGTTTGGTTTGGATTCTAATGTTGTAGATTAGGCCCAAAATGTACATTATTTTGATTGGGTTAAGGTTTGGTTTGGGTTTTTAATGCTGTAGATTAGGCTAAAAAACACCATCTGACGGATTTTTTCAGTCGATTCATACAAACCAGATACGGTCGGACATCACCTAGCGTCTAGGGGCTCCCTTAGTAAAATGATATTATTAATATTAAAATATTAAAAACTTAATTAATTTACAATTAAATAAATAAATAAATTTCTTTAATTTATTTTGTGTTCCTATCGAGAATCTTCTAGAAAACACTTAAGTTTTGTCAGACATGTCAAATGCCAATATTATAATAATTTATTTATTTTTGCTTTTTTATAGGTTCCAATCGTACAACGGACCCGAAATATTCACCAATGCACATATCATGTTCGCAAATATTTCATTTACGATTTTAGATTTAGTAAACGAGCCAAGCACTTCACAAGCTTTAAAACAAGCCGAGCCGAGCCCGAATCACACCCCAAAACATAAACTTGTTCATTCACAAATACTAAAGTGTGAAGAAAAGAATACTAACTAAAAGCTTAAGATTCATTTTGGTTGGTGTTGGCCAACACATGCTACACTCATAATCGACTGCTCCAAGCTAGAGAGGGCAACAGGCGTTGAGGGCAAAATGGGCAATAATCCCAAGTTGGACTGCGAGAGGCAGTTGACCAACGGGAACAAGAAGCACCCGATTAAAACGTTAACCGGCCAGTTCCCTTTCAGCCTGAACCTGAACCAGTCGAGCGGCAGAGGCCGGAAACGGGATAGGCAGCGGTGGAGGATTAATATTCCGGCGAGACCTTCTGTCACGTCTGTTAGAAGTCTGAATAGAGCCTGGCCTCTGAACGTGAGGGATTCCTTGCTGACGCAATAACACATCTGAGAAAAGAAAACGAGCTCATAGTTTACCCTTCATTTCATATTTATGAAGCAATAACACATCTGAGAACAAGCATCGACCTTGTACTTCACATAGTATCGATGGCCGATTGACTATTAACATAAACAAATTAACTTGGATATCCCATTTGTACCTTAAAGAATTCTACAAATTGTAGCACATACATTCACTTTGAGGCAGACTATTAAAAATAAAGACATGTAAAATAGCCCCTATATATAATTCCCGAAAGCGTTGAGCCTAAGTAACAGGCTCGTGTGCTTCGTAAGCTTATTTGGCATAAATTGGTGTTTCGTATTGACACATGTTCAGGTTGGTTTTTATTGCGATATAGCTTAGTTTGTTATTACTATGTATAGTCTACCTGTTAGTCAGTTAGACATTAGCGCACGTGTAGGTCTAATGTGTGGTTGCCACACGTATTCAGTATAAATGTAAATCACATTGTGTGTGCCTTCCATCAAGGAAAAATACAGATGTGGGATTATTCATCTTCAACATGGTATCATGCGCCATGGCTCCTGGTCCTTGATTTTTTTTTTCCGCCATGACTGGTTTTTCCTCGCCGGCGTCGGCCGCCTATCTGCCGCACCTTACCCCTCTTCCTCTTCGCTTGGCTCGGTCCAATTTTACCTACTGGAAGGCACAAATTCTGTCCACTGTTCACGCTCATGGTTTTGAGGATTTTCTGCTTGATTCTCGATCGCCGGTGAAATTTCTTCCCGTTGCAGGTGATGATTCCTCGTTGCCAACTCTCAATCCAGCATATACGCAGTGGATGTGTACTGATCAACTTCTCCTTAGCTGGATGTTGGCGTCAATCACTGATTCTATGCTTGGTCACCTCACTCGATGTTCTACGGCGGCTGAGGTTTGGTCGGTTCTAACTCAACTCTTTCACTCAGTCCAAGGCTCGAATTCTTCATCTCAAATTTCAACTCCAAACTCTGAAAAAGGGAGACAATTGAGGACTATATTCTGAAAATGCGTGGTCTTGCTGATGAGTTGCTTTATGTTGGTCATTGCATTTCTGATGATGATCTGGCCCACTAGCGGATTTACACAGGGGCCCGTACATATATTCCATGTATAAATGTATTAATTAACATAAAAAATATATATAATTATTAAGAAAAGTTATTTCAATATAAAAAAAATAAAAAACAAATATTTAGAATTATTCCTTCAATGGTATGTTATTTTTTTAACTTGTAGAATTTACGTGTATGCTATACTCAACTTCTTTTTTATTTCATTTTTCTTCCTAAAATACATATAAAAACAAATATTGTACATAAATGTATATACTGCATAGGGATTGGATCAAATGTGTCACTATTCTTAAAATGAGAATGTAAGACCCAACCCTATCTACTAAATAAAAAACAAGGTGTTTGTTATCTTTTTATTTTTTAATTGGTTAAATAATGATTTGACCGTTGACCTACGGCGTTGACTGTTTACCGTAGTTTGTGCCTCTGTTGTCCTTGAAGTCTGCGTCCGCCCCTGATCTGGCCATGTATATCCTCGGAGGATTAGGCTCTGATTATGAGTCTGTTATTGTCAATCTGACGTCTCGATTGGATTCAATTTCTCTATCTGAAGTTCAATTCTCTTTGCAAACTCATGAGATGCGGCTTGCAAATCAGGCTCAATCGTCTCCACTTTTCTTTTCTACTACTGCTCCTAATTCTGTGATTGATTTTTCTCCTTCGGCAAACTTTGTTACTACTCGTGGTGGTTCTTCTTCTCGTGGTAGCTACAAGGGTAGAGGACGGTCCTCTCGTGGCCGTGGAGGTCGGTTTTCCAGGAACACTGATAGAGTTGTTTGTCAACTATGTGGCAAACCTAGTCATGTTGCCTTGAAGTGCTATAGGAGATTTGACATCAGCTTCACAAGTCCGGATATTGGCTCTCCTCAAGCTAACCTGAGTGATTCTACTGCTTCCTCCACTTGCTCTACCACTGATCCGAACTGGTATTTTGACAGTGGAGCCACTACTTATTTAACAGCAAGCCTTGACAATTTGTCCATTCATTCTGCTCCATATCAAGGTAATAGTAAAGTCACAGTTGGAAATGGTTCTCAACTTCCCATATCACACATTGGTTCCTCTTCCATTCCTGCATCACACTCTTATCCTATTCTACTTAATAACATCCTTTTTGTTCCTCACATTACTAAAAATCTCCTTAGTATTTCCCAACTTACCAAAGACAACAACATTGTTATTGAATTTCATGCTGATTTCCGTCTTGTGAAGGACAAGAAAACTCTTCAAGTGTTACTGGAAGGTCAACTTAAAGATGGTCTATATCAATTGGATCTCTCTCAGTGTGTTGCTCTTCATCATCAACTCTCTCTTCATAATTCATTTTCTGGTTTTTCTAATTTGCCTTGTAAGCACTCAACTCTTGTTATGTCTGAAAATGTTCTTGTCAACTGGCACAATAAGCTTGGCCATCCTTGTTTGAATGTTTTCAAGAAAGTGATGAACAATTTAAATCTTTCTGTTCCCTCTACTTTGCCATTTTGTGATGCTTGTAAACTTGGGAAATTGCATGAGAAACATTTTATTTCTCAACCCACAAAGACTACACAGCCTTTTGAATTACTTCACACTGATGTTTGGGGGCCCTCTCATGTTATTTCGGTCGATGGTTACAAATATTATGTTCATATCATTGATGATTTTACAAGATATACCTGGATTTTTCCTTTAAAGTCCAAATCAGAAGTTACTTCTCTATTCACACAATTTATTAGCTTTGTTCAAACTCAGTTCCACGCCAAAATTAAATGTGTGCAATCTGACTAGGGTGGGGAATACAGACCTCTTGTTTCTCTCTTTAATTCCCTTGGTATTACCTTTAGGCATCCTTGTCCTTACACCCACCAACAAAATGGCAAAGCTGAAAGGAAACATCTCCACATTGTTGAAATGGGGCTCACTTTTCTTGCTCAGTCTCAAATGCCTCTTAAATATTGGTGGGATGCATTCAGTGCTGCTGTTTACACTATAAATAGGCTCCCTACTCTTGTTCTTGCTCGCAACTCCCCTTATCAATCACTTTTTCATGCTTCTCCTGATCTTACTTTTCTCAAGAGTTTTGGTTGTGCTTGTTTCCCTTATCTCAGGCCATATAATTCAAATAAGTTTCAGTTCAGGACCTCAAAATGTATTTTTCTCGGCTACAACTTACATCACAAAGGTTATAAGTGTCTCAATTCTGCAGGGAAAATCTTTATGGCCATTACTGTTTCTTTTAATGAAGATGAATTTCCATATCTCTCTTTGTTTTCTCCCTCCACATCTGTTGTTTCTCCTCCTGTAAATTCAGCCCATGTCTCTGTACCTGCCTTTTCTCCTTCTTCTTCTTTACCAAATCTGCAGTCTCTCGTTTCTTCTCCCTTCATTTCTTCTTCTCCTTATTCATGTTCTTCTCCCAATTCCTTATTGCCTGGTATTCCACTTGAGGTCAATTTACCTATCTCTTCTCCACACTCTGCTTCAGTGGACTCTCCCACTTCTTCTTCTCACAATTTGTCTCAGCCTATTCAGTTGGCTCAACCTTCTCACCCTATGGTTACCAGATCCAAGTCTGGGATTTTCAAACCCAAAACTTTTGTTGCTAACCTTACTTCTATTCCTCTCCTAGAACCTACTTCCATTTCTGAGGCTTTATCTAATCCTAAGTGGTATGCAGCTATGAATGATGAATTTCAGGCTTTGCAAATAAACCACACTTGGCAGTTAGTGAACCACTCTCCAGATATGAAAGTTATATCAAATAAGTGGGTTTTCAGGATAAAGTATAAACTTGATGGCTCTGTAGACAAATTCAAAGCCCGGTTAGTGGCCAGAGGTTTTGAACAAATAGTT